GTCTCAGTTATTCTTAGCTATATTCCTTCAGTAATAAAGGGAAAAGTAAGAAGACTAATGAGAATAGATATGCTAAAAACAAAGGCCCAGATGAACTACGGGGGGGGATAAAAACACATGCTAAAAATAGCAAACTCAGCCATAAGGAGGAATGGAACCCAGAATTCCTAAAACTTTGTTTTCCTTCAGCTGTGAGCAAATGAGCTACTTTAGAAGCATTCCACAGCCATTGCTGGACTTAAAATTATAGAATCACACCCTTCTGTATATGTATTCATCAATAATTTCACCTTTACTATGCTTTGGTAGGCTTGCAATAGTTCTTGTATTATCCAGAGTAGTGAAACAGGAACAGAGACTAACCTGCTCTAAAAAAAGCAGAAAAAAACCCCAAAACCCCAAAAAACCAAAAATTAAAAAGAACTTAAATAGCAACAAACGACAAAAACAAGAGTGTATGATTTTACTCTAAGCTTTGTGCCAGGAGGCAGTGGCTTTCTGAAAAAAAGCCCAAAAAGCAACAACTCAGAGAATATTTCATTATCTAATCTTTTGGAATGACCCTTTATAGTGAAATGATACAATAAAAAGTGAATTATAAGCTTTACTGCTTTTGACACATTAGATTACATTTGCTGGCATTAGATGAACTACAAAGAAGTAGGGTAGTTGTAACCCATGCTCCCAAAAGGAGATATGGGGTTTCCTGATGTGATTTCTCATGCCATCAGGAAAGGACAAGGGTCTTTGGACAGCATTCTTTACAGACACATCACATGCACAAAAGTTGACACCAAGTTCACTGCACACCTTCCCTTCTCTTATGCAAAGCTGCACTGGCCCTTTGCTCTGAGGCCATGGGGGAAACAGCTCCAGTGTCCCCACCTCACTCAACTCTCTGACCTTTTCTTATCATGACAGTTCAAAAGGTAAACACAAACTTGCTCTTACAAGCAGCAAAATGAATGCAAAGAGTCGTGCCTGATCTCAGCATAACCTACACATCAGGGAAAGCTTCATTTAAGTCAGAGATTGCCTAGAAACTCAATGCATGCCCACAGCATAAACCAGAAGTTTACATGCAGTACCCAAATCTACTGAGTTACATCAAGTATTTTTGCACATTCTAAGAAAACGTTAACAGCATTATTAAGAACAATTTTCTTTCTCCATTTCACACACTGCTTAACCTCAAAACCAGAAGTTGTTTCCCCATGCCTCTCCCTGCCCAGTCTTCAGAGTAGTGACCAGACCCAAAAGCAAAATACTGCCAGTGAAAAATCAGACTGTAGGAACTGAGGAGACTAGAACCAATGGCAGGGTTAGAGGTATAGATAGGTCTCCTGAAATAACACTGCCTGCCTTATATGGGACAAAGAATTTACTTTATCTCATCTGCTGTCCTTCAGCTTCTGCTGCACTTCCTGCTTGAGGAGAGGGGCCAACCTGTCATCAGAAGCAGCACAGACAGCAAATGTTGTCTGCACCAAGGAAGTGTTGTCACAGCAACTCCACCTGTGTCTTTTACAGTTCTGGAAGACAAAAATATTTGCATTCTTAGAAGATCAGAGGAGTTAAGGCTGTTGACTGATAAAACGGAAAAAAGATTCTGCATTAGAAGGGAAAAAAAAGTATGACTGCTGAAAAAAGAGTGGTCACATCCTAATCACATGTATAAATCAGCCAAAAGAAGCTAAATTACTTGGGAGCAGAGGAGATGAGGACAATTAAAAATCAAAATCTCAATCTCAGCTTTTCTTTACTTAGTTGATCGGAGAAAGAAAGAGAAATTCTCCTCACTTGACAAAACCTGACAATTCTTACAGACACTCTTTAAAATTAGTCACCACCCTGGCTGACACAGAACAGTGACACCATAGGACTGGTTTACTTTTAATTAGGCACTGCATCATTACACCAGCAAGCACAGTCACAGCACTAAGAGTGTGGTAACAGATGTGTTACTCTCTCCCACCTGCCCATAGCCCACTGACCTACCCAACATTACTGCAAGACTCTGTACCTCACTGACTGCTTGAAACACAAGGTTTTGCCAAGGTGTCCTCTTTGCTGCTGCAGTATGAAATGCTCCAGACACAGCTCAGAAGAACCCCTCTCCCCAGGTGCACACAAGCCTGCAGAGCCCAGGACCTGTCCCCCCTGGTGCTGACAGCAGAGCTGGTGATTGCTGCAGCCAGAGGACACTCACCCTCCGCAGCCAGAGGCGCAGGCTGTGCACAAGCACCGCGCCCTGCGGAGGGACCGAGCTGCCTGGAGCACAACATCAGCACCCTGAGGGTCAGCACTGCACTGCCAGCTGATCATCCTGCTGGCCTAGAGACTCCTCACTGCAATACTGCAACCACCCCATCACAGGCTCCCACCGACTCCTGCATTCAGACAGCAGGAGAGGCAGCAAAACAGTTCGTTTATGTGTAATTAACCAATCAAGCTTCTCTCTAGCAGTCCTATTTTTGGTGATTTGATTAGGTACATGGATATTACACTTAGTCTGCAATGCTTGACTAAAGAAGATGAAATCTGCAAGATGATTGCTCTAAAACCAGTTTTGTAGGTGAGCAAAAGGTCATCAGAAATTCACCACCAGAGACATGCTCCATCTCCCTCCCATCTACTGCACTTAGTGCTATCTGGTGTACTCATACGTTAAATGACAAATTACAGTTCAGGGGAAAAAGGTACTTGCCAACAAAGGATCAAGCACTCTCGAGTTTGCTTTATTTAGAATGCATCTTCCAACAAATGCAGGAAAATATTTAGAAGTATTATTCAAAGGTGCCTTTCAAATCACACTAATATACAGATTCCAAGTGCCCTGGCTGAACAGCTCCTACAGGAGCAATGCATTTATAAAAAAGGTCTTTTACAAAAGAAAATTTGGAAGAGTTATAAAAAAGCCTTTCTGAAAACACACAAAAATAAAATAACGAGACTGTCTGTACACTCTTCATAAAAAGATACTCAGTTTTCATTTTTGTAAGAAACCCGATGGAGCTCAAGAGAACAACAGAGATATTTATCATACTCTGCCCTTTAAAAATCAAAGTAAACCAATTATGCACAAGTTCTCTCTCATACTTGCATCTTAAGAAGAAAAAGATTAGGGAGAGGAGAGCGACCTTTACAATTTCTCTACCCAGTCCTTTATTTTGCTTGTCCAGTCATATGCTATCTCTTTACATAATATCAAGTACATCTGCAAACAGAACACCTACATTTATCAAAAAGCACAGATTAGAGCTACTGATATAGACATAGATCAGGTAATTTCTGTAGAAAATCCTCTATGTCCCGAACAAAAACCTCCAGGATTAGACAGAGGAGAGGAAGAGAAGGGCAGACATAGCTCAGGAGTTCTTCCTCAGCTCTTCCAGCTATATTCAATAAAATATACCAACAATTATGCAACAGCAGCAAAGCCCAGAAGGATAAGCTAGCACTCACCATATTCTCTTCATTTAGTGTCGAGCTTTCTCCTACACATCACACACAAATTACGGGAGCAAAAAAAGTCCGCCCTGAATCTATTTTGCAGACTGAGTTTAAGTCCCTAATTACAAATGATTTATGTTGCTTCTTACCCAAGAGATGACCCAAGCTTGGAAAGGGAAAAAATAAATAAACTAAAGAACTAAAACATACTTGCAACACTACTAAAGCAGACCACTCCCTCCAATTAAAAGGCAAGTAAACTTATTTATATGGTTACCCTCCTAGAAACGAACAAACCAACAAAAAACCCCTCACCACCTCCTCTACTACTCAAAAGAAAAAACCTTAATATTTTCAATGAACCCATGCATACCTACTAACTTGTATTTACTTTTGCAAAGATAGAACACACTGAAGCCTACCTTTGACTTAGGTTTTTTGGAATTTTAAACAGAAGAATTCCGGAGCAATGTCTCTTTCAGACGCACCACTGCAAGTCCTGGACATCAATTCTAATAAAGCAGTATTTCAGTGCTGAGTTAGTTATGTCATACTGTACAAAAAACAGGGGACCTACTGGCAGCTTTTTAATATATCTATTAATCTGAAAAAAGACACACAGATTACCCTGTCTGCTTATGTTGAAGCCAGACTGAGAGACTTTCCAGGTTTGTTCTGCAAGTGGTAGTGAGCACTGATGAGGTTAAAGAAAGGACAAAGAAATAAACGGTTCTAATACATATAATTTCAGTATAAAACATGTTAACACCTTCAAGTCAAATAAAATGCACTTAAACTTAACTTTCATACAAGCATTTTCTCAAAATCCTCCCCAAAAGCCATGCTTCATTGTGAAAAGCAAAAAGAAGGGCCTCCGTACCCGTACATCATCCCATAAAACACTTCTAAATAGCAGTCTATAAATACTTCAAACAAATATACTAAGACATTTCAAGACTGTAAAAGAAATTATTTCAATTTGTCAAGATACATCAGCAACACCAACCAACAGATGCTTCAGGAAGACTCTAGAATATGCAGATCATGCTAAGACCACCTTCCAAGCAATAGGCAAAAGAAACCACACAGTTCTGCAGTCAGCAGTAAAACTACCCTGAGGAAATAGCTTTCAGAAATTGTCATGGGACAGTGAATTTTAACCAGTACATTCAGTACACACAGTGAATCCTCGGGGTCATGAGCTGTATGACTTTAACATCACCATTATGTCCATAAACTTTCCCATTTCCAATTAATAGTACACAAGACACCTTGAAAGTCAATCCTTCCTTCTGGAAGGCCTCTGTACTTTACGACATAAAGCAGACTTTTACAAGTGTACCTGCCACTGCAAACACCATGTGGACTTCTTTTAATGAGCAAACATATAAAAAGGTTTTTAAACAGCATATCTGGATAAGCTTGAGCTGTACCAGGCAAGGCAGTTTTGAAGCAGTGCAACGCTGCGACAGTTCTAGCCCAACAGATCAGAGTCTAGCTTGCTGCTGCTGCTGCCACCATCTCCTTAAGAAGAACGGGAAGCTCACCTAGAGTATCCACAGAAACTTTGTGCATCTTGGAAAGGCACACGACAGGGTACCAAAAGCCACACTGGCACAGAGGCGTCAGCTCTCGTTGCCTAACAAGACTCCGTCTGGGTCAACACTGACTTTCTGACTAATCAGGAGTCTGACCAGACTCCAGAGCTGTGTGCTGCCATTCCTTGTTTTTCTTGTTTACACAAGACCTGCAGATGCAGCCTGGGCAGAAGAGAAGGAAAGAATTTTAGGAGGGCTGCTCATACTTTGCACTCAGTAGATTCATTTCTTCCCTTTCCAAAGCACATACAAAGAACTGATGGCTGCTTTTTGCACAAAGTGCAGTAGCCGGGATGAAAATCAGTGCATTCGAGGACAAGACCAGAGCCTTCCTTAATATTTCAATTCAGTCCATCACCTTGATGAGCCTATGAATACTAAACGAGCAAAAACAAGTTCAGTAATAACCACAAAGCAAGCATGCAGAGGGAAAAACCCTACAGATACTGTAATTAGCTCTGCTAACAGTAAACGAAGAGTCATACGGTTGAGAAATATTCCGTATCACTACTTGAATGAAAGAGGTTCCCTCTGTTTCCCTCCCTTCTGAGACAGCAGAAAAGACAGTCGCTGTTGCAAGGAATTGAAGACCTACTCTTCTGAGAAGAGCTTCGTGTCAAACTTCTTAGCTTTGTCTCCTGATATTTCTAAGGGGATATGATTTAAAGATGCAAATGCTTAATATAAGAAAAGTTTAGTTCTACCAGCTACATGCACAGTACGAATCAACTCTCTTTAGAGGAAATGTACCTTTTTCATGAAACACTAAAATAACGTGACCGGATAGCAAGAAGTCATATTTCCCATTTTACTAGGACAAAATACTGACTGCAAAACACTTAAAACATATAAAGTTTCTAGCTATGATTTAAAAAACGTTTCAGTAAACAGCATCTCAACCCAGGAACACATGTGTAAGACACCTGAAAGAAGAACATCCTGCATATCTACTACATTCAGATATGCCCCTATACATCCTCTTATGAAAACAGTTTTTTAACATATTGGTATGTTTTAAATTAATAAGACATTCTTACCTGTGTATCCTGCCCACCAGCCCCAGGAAGCCACCATAGCTAAAAGCCATTTAAACAACACTCCTTCGATATACCAGAAGCTTTTACTGTCCAATATTCGGAGAGGCTGCAGCACAATTAAATACAAGACGTAGGACGGAATAGCAACCAGGTTATTGGCGACCATAAAAGCGAACCTGAGGAGTGCTTTCAGGCAGGTATAGCCCACCCTCTGGGCCTGCTCTAGAGTCATGGCCATGCTCTTCGCAGCGGAGGGCTCGGGACCGTCCTGCGGGCAGAGGGAGAACAAGGTGGCACAGGTAGCGCTCCCGGAGCGGGGACAGCCACAACAAGGTGGCACAGGCAGCACTCCCCGAGGGGGCGAGGCGCCGGCACAGCCCCAGCCCCGGCCCCAGCCCGCTCCCGCCTCAGCCGTGAGTCACCGGGCAGGCAGCGACCCCCGCCCCGAGGGCACGAGGGCTCCGGCCGGCGCCGCCTCCGTCCCCGGGCTCCGGGGGACGCCAGCCCGCACTCCCGGCGGGGCACACACGCGTGTTCCCGGCCGCTCTCCATCTCCCCCTCCCCGAAAAGCCGGCGGGCGCTACGGCGGCTGCCGGCGGCCTCTCCCCCGCCCCGGCGCGGCTGACAGCAGCCCGGGCCCGCGGGGCGGGCAGGCAGCGGGCGGCGGCGGCCCGGCCGCGGGACTCACCTCCGGCGGGGCGGCGGAGCGGCGGCGGAAGCGGCGGGGCTGGGGGAGCTGGGCCCGGCGGCGGCGGTCTCGGCTGGCGGCGGCGGCTGGCGGCGGCTCATGGACCCGGAGGTGGCTGGCCCGGCCGCGGCAGCGCTGCTCGCCCTGCGGCTCCCTGCGGAGGGAGAGAGGGGGGCGGGCGGCGTGAGCGCGGGGGAGGCGGGAGCGCCGGGCCGGGCGGGCAGGCGCAGACCGCGGGTTCACCTCGGTTCTCCCGCGCCCGGGCCTGGCACGCTTCGCTTTCCCTTCCCTTCCCCTCCCCTCTCTTACCCTTCCCCTCCCTGCCGGCTCGGCGCTCCGCGGGCGGGACCGCGCCGAGCCCCGGCTCCGCAAGGGCAGGCGGTGCCGCGGGCGGGAGGAGGACCCTGCACCTGCCGGGGGCGGGGGTTCGTACCTCGGCACCGCCGCCGCCTCCGAGCCCCCGACGCGGGTTCATGCCGGGCGCTGGGGCCGCGCTCCCCGCCCCCGCCGCGTCCGCCGTGACCGCCCGGGAGCGGGGCTGGCGCTGCAGCGAGCGCCGCCCCTTCGGGCAGCGCGCAGCCCCCGCACCCTCCCGCTCTCACACGCACACGGACAGACACACAGACACGCAGACAGGCGGACGTGCAGAGACAGCGGGACGGATGCCGGAGCGCAGCCGCCCCCTCCGCAGCGCATCCCGGGCCGGCCCGCGGCCACGGAGGGGGCACAGGCGGGGCAGCCCTCAGGACTTCTGTGGCCGTCCCGGAGCCGGGCCGGCCGACACCGGCCACAAGTTGTGTCAAGGGAGGTTTAAGACG